GAAATCCGACCCTGCTTTTGCTACGTCACCTATCTGTGTTACTGATAAGGATTATGAATTCTCTGTTGATCCTAAAATTATTACTTTAGTTGAATCTGATCCTTTTTATGGCCTTGAATCTGAAACTGTTGTGGCACATCTTACCAAGTTGAATGATATAGCTACACTGTTTACTAATGATGAGAAGTCTCGCTATTTTTATATCCTTAAGATATTTCCGTTCTCATTAAAGGGTGATGCTAAGACTTGGTATAATTCTCTTGCTCCTGGTTGTGTGCGTAGTCCCCAGGATATGATTTATTACTTCTCTGCTAAATATTTCCCTGCTCATAAGAAACAAGCTGCCTTGTGGGAAATATATAATTTTGTGCAAATCAAAGAAGAGAGTCTCCCACAAGCTTGGGGGAGGCTTCTCCGGTTACTTAATGCTTTGCCTGATCATCCTCTTAAGGAAAATGAAATACTTGATATCTTTTATAATGGACTAACTGATGCTTCCAAGGACTACTTGGATAGTTGTGCTGGTTGTGTTTTCAGGGAAAGAACAGTCGACGAAGCTGAAATATTATTGAATAATATGTTGACTAATGAAAATAATTTGACTCTTCCTGAGCCAATTCCTGAAGCAATTCCTGAACCAATTGAGCCAATTCCTGAGCCTATTCCTAAACCCACTCCGAAGAAGAGAGGTGTTTTATTTCTCAGTCCTGAAGATATGCAAGAGGCAAAGAAATCAATGAAAGAAAAAGGTATTAAAGCTGAAGATGTTAAGAATTTACCTCCTATTGAAGAAATACATGGTCTTAATATACCACCTGTTGAAGAACCATATTGTCTTGATAACCCGACACAGGTAGTAAAGGTAAATTCTCTCTATAGATATGATAAAGTTGAAATCCCCTCTACTAAATTTCATAGCCCATGCTTAGATGAATTTGATGACTTTATGGCTAGACAAGAAAGTTTTAATGCTTATGTTGGTAGAGAGTTAAAGAATAATGCTTTCGAGATAGGACATGCAAGTGATAATCTGGCTAGAGTTAAAGATGAACTTCACCTCGTTAGCAATTATGCTTCCATGGTTGCTACTCAAGCTGAGCAAGTACTTAAAGCTTAAAATGATTTGCTTGATGAATTAAATAATAAAAATGACTTTGCTATTAGAGTGGCTACTAGAACTGGTAGAATGACTCAGGAACCTTTGTATCCTGAAGGCCACCCTAAGAGAATCGAGCAAGATTCTCAGAGAAATAATTTAGAGGCATCTAGTTCTTCTAAAAAGAAGAAAAAGAAAAACGATAGGACTTTGCATGCTTCTAGTGAACCTACTGTAGACACACCTGAGAATCCCAATGATATCTCTATCTCTGATGCTAAAACACAATCAGGTGATGAACATGAACCTAGTGATAACACTACAAGAAATATGTCAACTAGTGACCTTCTATCAGTGACCCTGGAAGAATTGGTCATAGATCTATGACCATTTGAGACCAATTGGTCAAAAGCTGTTCGGGGGGCTCCAAACGCTAAACCATTGCGACCATTTTGGTCAGAAAGGTCGTAATTTCCTTACACGAAATGGTCATAAAGCAAACAATGCTGGTCCGTTGCCTTATTTCTAGTTGTTAACGACCAATATAGATGGTCATAGCCTTGTAGATTGTGGTGGGTTGTGATTACTAGGCGCCATCTCATCAGTTTTGCCTATGTGTCATGTCCATGTGTCAATTTTTTCCCTAGGTTGTGAAGCAACCTATATTTCTGTTATTCCAAAAATTCCCAAACAATTCTCATAAATTGTTTGGATCATACCTTCATCAAATATGTCAAAAACATTCCTTGCCTAGTTCAAAAATAACTCAACAATATTCATTTTCCTATTCTGTTCAGAGCACCACTTTGTGAATGAAGTACCACTTTGGCATGTCCAAATGGTATACATTTTCTATAGTGCTTTCCTATGCCCAAATAACCATCCTCCACCAAATGCCAGCTCAATCCATTCATTATTTTGAGCCCAGCTTCAACATTCGTAATTATGTCCAGTGTGGTACTTTGCAAAGCAAGTTCCACCTAGGCTCCTCCTTTTGAGGTGAAAATTTGTGAAGACGGTCTTCTTAGTAACTAATCATCCTCACCAAAACTCACGCCCATTAGCCATGTGCATTTCTAGTACCGCAAATCAAACACTTGGCTGCTTATTCATGATTGAGCATCGATCGGTCTCCTCGTGAGAATCATATGTTGTGATTTTCTTCCTAGCACCTACCTGGGGAGTGCCCAACCCACTAGACATGCCTAGGCCGCCCAGAACACATGGCAACGCCACGGTCACGCGGTGACCACGCGGCGGGCATGCGAGCTTACGCGCTCTAGAGTTGGGGCCCTCGGCCACCGTCCAAACCTCGATGTCTCGCCATCAAACCATGTATTTCTGATTAAATAGATACTTATTTACCTAGAAATGATTTTTGGAAAAAATAAAGAGCAAACTATGAGGCAGCTGCAGTTCAAATTTGACCCGCTTCCAGCTGAATCGACGGGAATTTGTCTTTTTCACCAAAGGTGGATCAAAAATTTTGACACCCAACCATTTTGTCAATTGTGCATTAAATATGGCCTAGTATTTTATAAAATCGATTAGGTCCAATTTTGCAACAAATACATGGTAGGTCCTTCACAAAAAAACTAATTTCGGGTACACGGAAAATGGAAAACGAATTTTCTGTGCAAAGAAAATGAAAACTCCCCTATGGAACATTGTTTGGAATTCCAAGATGCATCCTTGTGCACAATATTAGATCATTTGAACAAACTATGCCATGAATGTGGCCATAAGATTGATCATTTGGCTTGAAAGCCATGAATCTTCACACTTGATAGCTCATTTCTCATAACAGTTTTTTAAAATAATTACCGTATTGCAAGTTTATTATTTTTCCTGGAAACTTGATCACATATAATGACACAATGCGAAGGTTTTCCAATGTTTTGATTTTTTTTGAATTTTTTATGCCCGTTTCAAAATGCGGTCAAAACGGCGGGCTTGACCGTTCCTATCTAGTGGTTGAATCTTGGAATTTTTTTGGTCTTTCTCTGATTAAATAGATACTTATTTACCTAGAAATGATTTTTGGAAAAAATAAAGAGCAAACTATGAGGCAGCTGCAGTTCAAATTTGACCCGCCTCCAACTGAATCGACGGGAATTTGTCTTTTTCACCAGAGGTGGATCAAAACTTTTAACACCCAACCATTTTGTCAATTGTGCATTAAATATGGCCTAGTATTTTATAAAATTGATTTGGTCCAATTTTGCAACAAATATATGGTAGGTCCTTCACAAAAAAACTCATTTCGGGCACTCGGAAAATGATTAAACATAGCTAGAAAGATCAGAAATGCATACAAATTGGTCCTTATCCATAAAATGTGGTCTAACTCTAGTGAAAATTTGTGTGGTGCTCTTTTGCAAAAAAAATTGATAGCTACTTCACAAAATCCCTCTGTTTTTAGTACTTGAAAACTATTTTAAGTCCCTGATTTTCCGAACCAATCAGAACTCTTCTTACGGATTGATGACATGGCGTCCATCCATCCATCCATCCATCTCTCCATCCCACATCCATCCATCCATCTTTCTACAGAAAAAAAGAAAAAAAATGAAAAGATACCCCCCAAACCCTAGCTCAGATCGATCCCCTCCCCATCTCCCCCCATCTCCTCGCCATGGCCGCCCCCCTCCCGATCCACTCCTCTCCCGATCCACTCCTCCACTCTCAACCCCCAAAGCCAAAGGCAGTGCTAGCCGCCGTCGGCCTCCGCTGTCTTCCCCAACCACGACCTCCACTCCATCGCTGGCGCCCTCTCCCCTCCTCCGCCTCTCCGTAGATCCTCTCGAGCGGCCAGATCCACCCCACTGCCACTCCTCCCCACCCACCCCCGCCTCGCGCACAGTCCAGTCCACCCCACTGCCACTCCCCCTCCGCCTCCGCCTCGCCACCGGCCGGACCTAGGGTTTCGAGGTAGGCAAGCAAGCGGCCCCCACTTGCCAGGCTCCTCCATCCGTCCCACACTCCCTCCGCCGATGATTTGCTGACGCGCTTTCGGATTTGGGGTTTTGTCGCGCAGGGATTTGAGGGTGCAAGGAAGGGGAGGGGAAGGGCGCGATGGCGGCGCCGGGAGGGAGGAGGGCGGACTTCTCCTCGGCCGTCTCGCCGGGGGAGGGGGGCGTCGCTGGCGGGGGCCTCATCCGCGGGGAGGCGGCTGCTGTGCACGCAGACCGTCAGCAACATGGGTGAGTCCATCATCGATAGCGAGATGGTCCCCTCCTTGCTCGTTGAGATCGCGCCCATTCTCCGCATCGCCAATGAGGTCGAGGTCGGCAACCCGCACGTCGCTTACCTCTGTAAGCACGCCCGATCTGCTTCTCCACTCAGGCCCAATCTAGGAGTAGTATAATTTGCTCGCCATCGGAAGCATGCTTTGCTCATTGCGCTTCCGCTCAGGCCGCTTCTACGCCTTCGAGAAGGCCCACTGGCTCGACCCCACCTCCAGCGGCCGCGGCGTGCGCCAGTTCAAGACCGCGCTGCTGCAAAGGCTCGAGAGGGTAATTTTTTACCACCACTCACATTCTCCTATTCATCATCTTCATTCATTCATTCATGTTCCCCAATTCATCAATTCTGGCTCAATGGGACAAGGAATGCGGGCTTCTAATTGACTGCTTGAGCTCACTCTTTGTGCAGGAGAACGACCCCACCCTCAAGGGGAGGGTGCACCAGAGCCTCATCTACTGGATCATCGGCGCCCTCGCAAACGACTCCCAGATACTAAGCAGGTACTTACTCTTCATTTATGTAGTAGTAGTAGTACATGCCTGCTGAATTTCCTCATAGCAGGTTTTGGATTGGCAACAATTTATTTTTCATAATGCACCCAGCAGTCATATATATTACTGGTGCTGAATTGGCTAACTAGAAGCCACTGTTTGATATGATGGTTCTCACTCTGTTTGGTAACAGACTCTGCTTTAGGAAAGTCTCACAGTACAGTACTACTAGTAGATAAGATACTCCTTAAACTTTGGATCAAGTAAATTGTCTCATATATTTTATGCTCCTCAAACTTCACAGTACAATACTACATTGTTATGCTCCTCAAACTTCACAGTACAGCACTACATTGTTATGCTCCTGTTATCTCAACTCTTATAGTATGATGAATCAAGTAAACTAAGGGCACCACCCTGTTCTGTCTGTGCAGACTGACCTCCGCTTCCAGAGCCATGCGGTGCTAGCCCTTCAGGAGGCTGCAGAGGCCTACCTAGTGGGTCTCTTCGAGGACACCAACCTGTGCGCCATCCATGCCAAGCGCGTGACCATCATGCCCGAGGACATTCAGCTGGCTAGGAGGCTCCGTGGAGAGAGGGCTTAAGGTGCTTGCTTTGCCTGTGGGAATGGCTCTGGCGGGCATCTGTGTCTGCTTTTGCTGCTGAACACTTATCATGTGTCACGAACTACTAATACTGGTCGTGTGTAGTAATATGTCAGTGCCGTACTCTGTGCCATACTATGTTCGTAGAGCTAGATCATTTGTTTGTTGGTCGTCCTAAATCATCCACCTGGTTGGTGCTTATCTGAACCTTGCATTTTATGTCTGAAAATTAGTGATTGTGTGAACCATTATTACATTCCTTGTGTCTCATTTATTTGTATCTCTTCCATGCAAGTTTGTGTTCACCGATAGTGTTTTTGATTCCTGTCAATCTATGCTAGTAGCCGTCTTTGTTTAGCCAACCATAGACCTGAAGCTGTGCTACCCAAACGAGCTAGTCTTATAATTTCGCTATGGAAATTAGAGTGCTTTGTAATATGTCTGGAGATTAGAAAATGTTTAGGTAAATGTTCAGGTAAATGAAACTGTTTGATAGAGCTGTACTCTGAAGTTTGAGGATCACAGTACAGTACTACTAGTAGATAACAGGAGCATAACAATGTAGTGTTGTACTGTGAAAGTCTCATATATTTTTCTTTTGAAGTTTGTAGTACATTCATGTTAATTACTTATGATGTGAATCCGATGTTAAATGTTGGTGCTGTCTGGAAGAGTAAAAGTAATAACCTTGCTGGTGGACATGTAAACTGCCAAGCTGGTACTGTGAGTCTAAAACCTTTGGATTTATATATCGGTTACTGTAGTTTCAGATGCAATTTTTTTGATTGGTGGATTAGAATGATTAATTGACACAACCATGTGATCTGTTATCAGGTTGTGGATTGGTGCTGCTGGCCTCAATAGGGCACCTTGCACTATTCGTGTAAGTGCGTTTGAGAAGGCAGTGAGGTTGTTCGCGGAAAAGCCGACGGATAATGTAATCACTCCAGTGCTGGGTACTACCTTCAACTCGCTTGGATAAGCATACAATTTGTCTCTTCTCTGTGTAGATAATGTGTTGAATGTTGTTCATGCGATTGTGTCTTGGCAGAAACGGTGAGGATCACAAGGTGAAGATGAGGTGCTAGTATGGTCATGGTAAGAGATCCTCCTCCACGTCTCATGGGATGCAATATCATGCTTGCTCTTGTGAAATCGATGATGATGCTCTGAATGTTATTTCTATTACCATTGTGGGTTAGCTTCTGCCCCTCAAATGCTATTGGCAAGTTGCATCCCTTGACTCCGTGGATGAGTAGAATTATCATGAGTAGTATACAACCTGAGATGTCTGATTGTATACAACCTGCACCTCGAAATTGATATGTTCTAGGCTGTGTCTTTGATTGAAAAGGATTCTTCACTATAAACTCTTCTATCTGTGATAAGTGCAACTAGAAGAATTTGTCACATCTAAAATTCTGTAATCCATAATAGCTGAAACTTGAGCATTACAAAGTTTCATTTCTGTGGGGCACTACTGTCTAGAGCTTTTCTCCACTCTCAATTTCTTTCGAATTACAGAGATCCAGTGGCAATGCTTTAGAGAACTATCTGATCTGTTTCAGAATGTGAGATCAATTGAGATCCAGTGGCAATGCTTTTGAGATCTTGCTATGTGTAACTATTTTATTCTAGGAACCTCCCTTCTGAATCATGCACAGTGCCTGTTACTATGGCAATGAATTTTATCTATGCACAGTGCATGTTTATAAGAAGTATTGATGCATGTGTTTGAATGACTGAGTAGTGAACTATATCATGAAAGTATGGAATGGCTGAGTAGTGCATATTCAGGCTCTCGCCGTCTAGTATGTGAAGAGTAATGTAACCAATGAAATGTGATATATGCATCTGAATTAGATTGGTTTAAGTTTTGTACCTAAAATGCCCACAACCAAATGTGCATGAATATTTAGAATGAGACACCAATTGAAGATGAACATGTTCGTTGTTACATAGTTGCTTCTTTCTCTTCATGTATTATTATGTGCTCTGTAATAATTTTGTTTTGCTTCCATATGATCTGCTTCTACATTCTGTTCCTATGTAATCTGATCTGCGATGATTCAGTTTTTGGTTCCATATAGTTAATCCGCTTCCATGCTCTATTCCTATTTAATTTTCCTAATGTTCTTGTTGTTGTATGTGTTCGCCTTCCAGGGACAACATATATGGACAAGATATATATGCTCAATACACTCTACTTGTTTTCCTGTATAGTTTCTTACTTTTTTTCCTTTATGTTCACTCTTTTTCAGGAGCTCAAGGCCTAATTTTTTTCTTTTATGTTCACTCTTTTACTGGAGCTAGAGTCCTAATTTTTTTGAGTGTGAAGCCGTGAAGCCAAGTGCGAAGCAGTGAAGCTGTACTTTGCAAAGAGTTCTTTTGGCTCTGTAGTAGATTGTAAAAGGCTAATGTAGTGTAAAAGGCTAATGTAGTGTTATTTGACGAACTATATTTGTTCTGTCCTGTTTGAAATAGTGGCTGTTTGAAATAGTGGTTATGTATGTTGAGAAGATATGTAAACTTCACCAGTGGGACCCACTTATGAATATAATCTGAGCAATTTTGAAATTTCTGACATGTGGGACTCATGTATGGCATTATGACTTGTGGGACCCATCTGACTAGTGGGACCAGCTCCAAAATATGATGACTGGAAATAGAAAATCAATTGATTGTAAGAAGGCCAAGGCCCAAAAATAAAGAAGCTAAAACACAAGGCTTGGCCCAAGTAGCCCACAAGAATTGACGGAAAAAAATAATATAAAAAGGATGAATTAATGGGCTCGGCCCATCTAAAGCATCGAAATGGACCAGGCTGAATCTTGTCAGTGACCTTTTGAATTGGTCGTAGTTTTGCCACGTCAGATTGCCATGTCGGATCCGACATGGCCTGGGTAGACAACCAGTGACCAAAACAAAAGGTCATGGGTTCAACGACCTTCTGTTTTGGTCGTAAACGTCTACGACCTTCTCTGTTTACGACCGCCAGCTTTTGACCTTCAGTTTTTGGTCACAAAAAGGTCGCAAATGTAAAACAATGACCTTTCAGTGACCAATAGTCAAGGTCACAAGTTGACATATTTCTTGTAGTGTAATGTTAATGATAATGTTCATGTTGATGCTCAACCTAGCAAAAACAATGATGTAGAGATTGAACCTGCTGTTGATCTTGATAACCCACAATCAAAGAATCAACGTTATGATAAGAGAGATTTTGTTGCTAGGAAGCAAGGTAAAGAAATAGAACCATGGGTTCAGAAACCCATGCCCTTTCCTCCTAAACCATCCAAGTCAAAGGATGATGAGGATTTTGAGCGCTTTGCTGAAATGATTAGACCTATTTTCCTACGTATGCGTTTAACTGATATGCTGAAAGTGAATCCTAATGCTAATCATATGAAGGATATCATTACAAACAAAAGAAAGATATCGGAAGCTGGAATTTCCACCATGCTTGCGAATTACACTTTTAAGGGTGGAATACCAAAGAAACTTGGAGATCCGGGTGTACCAACTATACCATGCTCTATTAAAAGAAATTATGTTAGAACTGTTTTATGTGATCTTGGAGCCGGTGTTAGTGTTATGCCTCTCTCTTTATATCGTAGACTTGAATTGAATAAGTTGACACCTACTGAAATATCTTTGCAAATGGATGATAAATCAACTGCTATACCTGTCGGTATTTGTGAGGATGTGCCTGTTGTGGTTGCAAATGTCACTATCTTAACGGACTTTGTTATTCTTGATATTACCGAGGACGATAGTATGTCTATTATTATTGGTAGACCTTTTCTTAATACTGCAGGGGCTGTTATTGATTGCAACAAAGGCAATGTCACTTTTCATGTTAATGGTAATGAGCATACGGTACACTTTCCAAGGAAACAATCTCAAGTTCATAGCATCAATTCTATTGGAAAAGTTCCAACTATTATTATTGGAGGTTTTGAATTTCCTCTCCCTACTTTTAAGAAAAAGTATGATATTCTTGTTGTTGGGGATTTTCATATCCCCGTTGAGGTAACTTAGTGTTATTCGAAATTTCTCCGGTTCCGTGCTATTCGGAATGAGTTTGTTGACAAGACTTGATCAACCTTGTTAGTGGGTTCATTTTGACAATCACGAGATGGATGAAACTAGAAGGCACAACCTTCTGTACCCTCTTTTTACTTTCCATTATTTAGATTAAATAAAGCAAAAATAGTATTATCTGTCTGTTTTCTGAATTATCCGTGTATTAAAAAAATAGTCCGAAAATAAAAGTGCTCCAAATGCCCTGCAAATTTAGTATGTTTTTTTCTAGAATATTTGAGGATTTTAGGGACTGAAATCACTGCATGAGGGGCAAGCACCAGGCCACGAGAGTGGAGGGCGCCCCCCCATAGGGCACGCCCCCTATCTCGTGGGCCCCTGGTGGCCCCCCTCCACTTATGCCAGCACCCACACACTTCATCTTCTACCCAAAAAAATCCCCATCCAGCTCAAGCACGAGTTCTAGCTCGTTTTGCTACGATTTTCGATCTCTTAGCTCAAAGCTCCATTCACAAAACTGCTTTGGGAGATTGTTGCTTGGTATGTGACTCCTCCATTGGTCCAATTAGTTTTTGTTCTAGTGCTTTATTCATTGCAAATTTTTGCTGCATAGGTGACCATGTTCTTGAGCTTGCATGTTAAATTTTTGAGGTCCCAAACAATTCCAATGCATGATATAGGCTCTAGGCACTTGTAGGAGTAGTTGCTATCAATCTTGTTTAGTTTTATGCACTTTTATTTGGAAGTTACTAAAATTTCAGAAATTTTCAGAAAAAGAATTATGCTTAGAAGAATGTACCAAGGTGGTTCCTCGGCAAAGAAAGGGCCAAGGATTGCTATACGTGAGCAAGATGTTGAATTGCCGAGGGACGCAAATGTACGGGCTTGTGAGTGGCCATCCGATGATTTTATGGTCGAAGCAGGCTTCAAGGAGGAATTTGACGCGTATGTGCGTA